CCCGACAAAACCAGTATAATTGAAATGTGCCTTCAATCAGAACAAGGCTTGATCTGGACCTGTAAAGCAGCTTCTCTCTTCGAGGTCTGGTTATCAATGGTGAACACAATCTTTCCTGGTTCGCCAACCTTGAAGGTGTCGCAGATGATTGGCTCATCGCTTGGCACCACCTTCCTCGTCTTCGAAACAATCACTGTGTAACTGCCTTCAGCATCCGGCGCAAACTCCGCTCCGTAGTTGACGTCCCACCCCACAACTCTCACCTCCCAGTTCACAATACCAGCCTGCAATTTCAATAAGGACATACATACCAAAACATCAATGCCACTATACCTACCCTATTCATTATTTTACTGCATGTATTTTACTATCAGAACTGGATTAAAAAATCTTCTCCAAATTTACTCATCCCATTCACTAGAACACCTCGATCGACCCATCTAAGTTCTGTCTTTATTTTCACTTCGATTTTCTCACCTAATTTATAATATAGTATAGCAATTAGAAACTTAAGATGTAGTTTTAAGTCAGTGGTTGTCGAGAGTTAAATCCTTTGCAGGAATCACTAATCTAATAATCTGTTTGCATTATGTGAGATTGAGATATTACAATTCTTAAAACAAGGTCAAAACTGAAAGCAATAGATTACCTCAGAAACTGGGATCTCAACAGAGTGTTTGGTTGCAGGTTTAATTGTAACCTCTGCAACAGGGTCTGAAGTGGTGAATTCTTGCTCACCCTCCCTGCTTAGTCCGCCATACTGAACGGGCACTTGTTCAGGAGCTATGTATCTATTTACAGAAACACCCAATTACGAGATAGACCAAATAGATCCATGAACAAAATTATGCACAAAGTGGGAAAAAAAGAAAACTAGAAGGATATCAGTTCATAAGAGGTAAATTAATGATGATGGGGCAGTTGCAGAATGAAACCAAACAGAACCAATTAATGAAGTAGAAATTAAAAGAAGGATGAATTTAAAACTTACTTGAAAAGGGCCTCAGCAGATCTAGATGGCCCTGCAAAAACAAACTTGCTCTTGGTCCTCTGTGTCAGGAAAGGACTGATCATCCGATTGAAGGCCAAGTACCACCATGGGACATTGATAAATACCTGTAAAATCGAAAGTCCAGATTGATTTTAGATCTGGAAATCAAAATTGTAAGGACCTGAAAACGATGTATTCTCTGCGACGCATTTAAACAAACACCTGTTTGGCAACAAATTCAGGATAGTTGTCTTGGAGCACTTGCAGCGCCTGTTTGGTAGCTAGCCTGAGCTCCCTCTTTGCAAGTCCTGGAGAATTCTTAAGATCGTTGACTTGGACGATGGTGCAGATTCCATTAGGACTAAAATCGAGTTTTCTGATGCTTTTTTCTAAGAACTGAATTCTCCAGTTCAAGAACTTAGCTCTCTTTTCTTCGTCGGCGAAGGTGTTTTGGTAGAGTTCCTTGTTTTGGAACTCGCCGTAGACGTTGTAGCAGACAGGGTGGCCTTCCTTGTCGAATCCGTGCATGAACACCACCTTGTCTAATTCATGTCCAAGGTCTTCGTCGAGCAGAGCATCGATCCCTTTCTCTTTCCTCCAGAGCACGGTGTTCTTGATCATGGTGAATGCATCCTTCACCTTGAAATCTCTGGCTCTCAAGAATTTCAAAAGGATCACATCGCTCCTCTCATCTCCGAGAATCGGGATTCCCCATATGAATACCTCCTCCGGTGGTGGAGGAGGAGGCGCTGGGGTTTCTGCCTCTTTAGGCTCCTCAGCCGAAGCAGCTTCCGGTTCGGCTGGAGCCGGAGGCGCCGAGACAGCAACTACAGTCTCCTCGATTGCCTCGACTGTCTTGGCTCCGTCCTCGTCAACAGTGGCCATATGCTCAACCACTTGTGTGACTACCACGACCTCTGCGGGGGCCGCCGGCTCAGCCGGTGCCGCAGCCAGAACCTTTTCTTCCTCCTTAGACTCAACCACCGAGGCGGCGGCGGGGATTTTCTTCCTTCACTCGGTTTCTCTTCAGCCTTGGCTGGTCTTCGGTAGTCGCCGGGGAGTACTTTCTCTCTCTTCCTTCTCTCTCTGCAGCTG